GGTATTGGTCCCCTCACTGCCTCCAGGAGTTCTCCTGCCACTGGAGCCTATGAGAGAGGACCCGGCAGCTGCAAGTGTCACCTCCCCTATTGGCAGGTGTCCCCATCATGCAAGCAGTGTTGTGGACACCTGATGAAGGACCCCAGAAAGTAAAGAGCAGAAGAGAGGATTGTCATGTGATTGTGGTTTCAGGTAAGTAAATGGGCATTTGGGTATTTTTTTTCCCTTTCTCCCTACTGGAAATTAGAAGGGGGGATTGCTGACATCCTGGAGTTGTTGTCTTTAGGTGAAAAGACAGCAAGTTAAAAAATTTTTTAGGCAAATCATGTGTTGTTCAGTTTTTGCAAAATGTCAAGCGTCCCAGGAGACTGCAGGACCACTCAGCGCAATGCAGTGCTCAAGATGGCGGCATCGGGACTGAAGACTTGCAAAGAACCAGCCCAGGTGATGACACCACTGGATCCCTGGTGAGTACCTGTTTATTAAAAGTCAGCAGCTACAGTATTTTTAGCTGCTGACTTTTAATTTTTTTTTTACAAATGGCTGAAATCCCTCTTTAAGTATTAGCATTAGGGAATTATTTAATCCACCACTGTCCAACCTTAACTGAAACATGGTGGATTATTCCATATATTAACATTGTTGGTGCAGCTATAGTTTAAAAGATAAGTTCACCTTTGGGAACATGTTACATGTTCCACCCATTTTTAGGGATGGCCCGTTTTTGTCTTCTCTCTGCACCTGCTGTCACAATTTGAGAAAAGTGAGGCCATGCGGGGCTCTACTCACACGGCAGCATCATTCAAATAGTTCTGCGAATGAAGTCCTATAAGTTTGGCTGACAGCTTGTAGTTCTCAATGAACTGTGAGGGTGCTGGTGAGCACTCTCCTAATCCATTGAGCTTCCTGGACTGAAGTAACTGCCTGCCCGTATTGGAGGTATGGACAGACCACTACACTTACAGCCTGCAGGAGCTGGAAATTGCACCCATGATCTGCTGATCGGGGGTGCAATTCTTTCCATGCTTTTTAGGGAAAAAATTGTAAATGCACATTTTTATTCCTGCAAAAAGGTGTGCATTTACTATTTTTTCCACAAAAAGTGAGCCTATGCTTTAAAGCCTAACTCATTTAATATCTTTCCAAGTAGTTTGTCTGGGCCAAGCTGGCCCAAATAAACAGTTTACTGCACTAAAAGGTGCGCTGTATTAACTGTATGTAGCCTCAGCTACAAACCGTATACAAAGCAGTGTTCCAGCAGTGGGACAGAGACTTGTCCTACTCCCTTGAGGTTAGGCTTTAAAGAGTAACTTCACTTATGTTGAAAAAAAACATTCCCATCTGGGTGATCTATGTACTTTTCAGGGATTTAAACAAACTTTGGTGCAGATTCCTACCTAAGGCCTGGTTTACACCTCTGCAGTTTTGCAGTGCTTTTTGCGGTGCGTTTTTGCACATTAGTTTTTGACACTTTAAATGCTTTTTTTTTTTTTTTTTTTTTTTTTAAATGCAAAACACGTCAAAAACTCACTACGTGCTTTTTCTACAGCATCTCCATTGAAGTCTATTGAATCAAAAACACAGTGTTTTGCATTTATAAAAAAAAGTCCCTAACCCTTTCCAAAAATGCAGCAGCTGAAAAAAGCATAGATGTGAACGTGTCCCATTGGAAATCATGTTTCTGCAAAACCTAAAAAGCACCATAAAATGCATAGGTGTGAACCAAGCCTAATGACAATATGAAGAAATAACTGTATTCTTATCTGTGTCTATGTGCAAAGTGAGGGAGAATGGGAGTGACTTTTTAGATGTGATTTAACCCTTTGGGAGTAACTCGCCAAAACTGAAATGTTTGTTGCAGAAGATGTCCGAAATCTGATTTGTATCTTAGTGCAGACTTCTGGGAAAATCATTGAGCCAATCACACAGTTTTTACCGTAGCACGGATTTCCACGTGACAGACACCCTGTATTCACGCAAACAAAATTGCAGAATGCTCACCACCTAAAAAGGTTCCAGAGCTTTTTTGGGTGTCGTGCGTCCTGCGATTATGTTTGCGTGGCATGTTTGTCTCGTGGAAATCGCTCCACAATCATGGTAAGAACTCCCCGCATTTTCAGGTTCCAGTGAAATGAATGGCACCTGAATGCGCATTTTCACAGTGAAAAAAAAAAAGTTGCATCATACATACTAGGGGGAGTACAACTGGGGGAATCAATGGTGGAGAAGGATCTGGGAGTTCTGGTAGATCACAAGCTAAATAATGGCATGCAATGCCAAGCTGTGGTTTCTAAAGCGAGCAAAATCCTCTCTTGTATTAAAAGAGGTATAGACTCCAGAGAGAGAGATATCATTCTACTCCTGTACAAATCATTAGTAAGACCTCTTCTGGAATATGCAGTTCAGTTTTGGGCACCAAATCACAAAAAGAACATTGGGAAACTGGAGAAAGTACAGAGAAGGGCAACCAAACTGATAAGAGGCATGGAGGAGCTCAGCTATGAGGAAAGATTAGAGGAACTTGAATGTATTCTCTCTTGAGAAGAGGCGATTAAGGGGGGATATGATCAACATGTATAAATACATCAGTGGTTCATATAGTGAACTCGGTGTAGAGTTATTCACCCTGAGGTCATCACAGAAGACAAGGGGGCACTCTTTACATCTGGAGGAAAAGAAATGTAATCTCCAAACGGTGCGTTTTCAAATTGTGAGTTCCAGCGGTTCTGCTCGCGATTTGAAATGCTTAAATGTGAATGGAGCCTAAACTAGGCTCACCAATGCAGGTTGCTTTTCAGTCGTTTCTGCATTGCATTCATGCACTTGCGTTTTTGACACGTTTTAGACACGTTTTTGATGCGTTTTGCTGATGCAATTTTTTTTTACATTTTTTTTTTTTCTCTTGTTGCTAGGAAGATTTAAAATGCATAAAGAACACAGCAAAAATGCAATACATGCTTTTTTGCAGCGTTTCCATTAAAGTCTATAGAACCAAAAACTAAACTTTTTTTTTTCTTCAAAAAAGTCCCTGACCCTTTAAAAAAAAACGCACTTTGTGAAACTGCACAGATATGAACATGTCCCATAGCCAATCATTGTAAATGGACTGTACTGCTTTTTTGCAAAATTCCGCAGAAACTGCTTAGGTGTGAACCTAGGGTAAGGGGGAGGGATGTGCGCACATGTGTGAATCAGCTCTTAACCATACACACCTGCAAAGTTTGCAAGTTTTGTGGTAATTGTATAATTCAAAATTGACAGAATATGTCAGCTAGAACCTTGTACCTTAAGGTTGTGTTCATTCTCATCTTCCTAAGGCCTTTTGTTTGGATCAGAATACTTCTCTCCCTATACAAGTCTATAGGAATATAAAAGCAGGTCAGAAGGAGGTCCAATGCACCTGTCAGTGAGTTTTGAATGATGTCATAGGCATCTCAAACGGAAGTATTCTAGACCTCTTTGGGTTGTGTCAATGAGCCTGCTTTTGACATCAAACATAAGATCTTCTGGTCTGAAGAAAAATATTTCATAGTGCTGTTCTGTGTTGACTGCATTTATAGTACTGAAGATGAATTGTGGGTGGATAATGATTTTGACCATTTCACATTCTTTGATATGACATTAAGGTTTCCTGCTCGTACACAGCTATTGTATTTTTTTATGATTACAGAATGGAGCCTTTTAATTTATCCTCATTCATGTGTTAGTTTTTATTCAAAACCACAAAATGCATCACCCTCCGCATTTCCGAGGCCACTGTGTCTTGGATTGTGGGAAGAATTGCTGTGGGGAGATGGGCTGTATTATAATGATGCTCTGCTGAGGGTTCCGTCACTGCATTGAATACAGTCTTTGTGTGTCTGTTAACGTCACCACTTCAACTACATTCGTAAGCCTCGGAGATAAACCCAGGGAAAAAGCTTTGAGTTCAGGGGTTGGGGGAGCTCCCCCAGGGATCTAAAGAAGCTGGCTTTGTCTTCAGAAGGACTCAGTGTGTCCTACTCCCCTCACTGACATGCCTGACCCTCCCCCACCTTCCTGTCAACTTTTCCTAACAAGTTTGCTCTTCGGGGTACTTGGTGATCAAGAGTCATAAGTGACGCATCAGCCTCTCAACACAATAGTCTTTGATTGTGCATTACTTCTATGCAGCTGTGCCCTTATGTTGCCTGTAATTGTATGAACTTTTTTCCTGGCATGGTAGAAGTGCCAGCTTTCATCTCATCCTCAACATGGACAACATACTGAATGGGCTTCAATTTTTTTTTATTGTTAACTCTTCTTGCCACTAGCCACAAACAGTTATAGTGGCATTATATGCATAGTATCTAAAACACTGCAAGAATTTGTTTGACATGCAGTAATTGAGAGAAGGTTGCCACTTTTTCGTTTAATTAGGCAGGTCTGCTTAAATAAGCAAGTTTCACATGTACAAAGTTTTTGACTAGGAAACTGCTGTAAAAAAAAAAAAAGAGGGAAATTAAACTGTCACTAAACCAACACACAACTCTTCAGACAAATTAGCTGTGCATAGTAACACAAAACAATTAATATATCACTGCCATGTAATAATTAGAAAAACCTCTCTTAGTCTATTCTAGTCATGTCTTATTTTTTGTTTAACCACAAGCCTACAGGGCACTTATACCCCTTTCCTGTCCAGGCCAATTTCCAGCTTTCAACACTGTCGCACTTTGAGTGACAATTGCGCGGTCATGCAACACTGTACCCATATGAAATTTTTATCATTTTTTTGTGACAGAGCTTTATTTTGGTGTTATTTAATCACCTCTGGGTTTTTTATTTTTTCTTAAACTAACCAAAAACCACTGAAAATTTTTAGTTTTTGTTATAAAATTTGTAAATAAGTAATTTTTCTCCTTCACTGATGTGCGCTAATGAGGCTGCAGTGATGGGCACTGATAGGCTGCACTGATGGACACTGATAGGTGGCACTGATGAGGAGGCACTGGTAAGTGGCACTGATGGGCATTGACAGGCTGCATTGATGGGCACTGAAAGGCAGCACTGATACATGGCACTCATAAATAGCACTGTTAGGCGGCACTGACTGGCACTGATCGGCGGCACTGATAGGCGGCACTGAAAGGCAACTCAGATGGGCACTGATATGTGGCATTGATGTGGCTCTGATGGGTACTGGCACGAGGCACTGATGAGCACTGACACAAGGCACTGATGGACACTGACAGGTGGCGCTGCTGGGGCTACACTGATCATCAGGGTACACTGATCATCAGTGCTCTGATGATCAGTGTACATGTCCCCTCCGCGGAAAGCCGATTACCGGCTCTCCTCTCCTCACAAGCTGTCATCGTGGCAGCTTGAGAGGAGAGAAATGCCGACAACCGGCATTTCCCTGTTTACATGTGATCAGCTGTGATTGGACACAGCTGATCACATGACCGAGCCGACATCTTCGGCTCTTTCCGTGATCAGTGAGATCGCTGTGTCAGAGGGACACAACGCACTGCCAATCGCCACGCTACGCGCTCCCTGAGCCGCGCATGCGCAGTGAGAATGGGAGGATGTCATATGATGTCCTCCCAGAACAAGAGAACCACCTTGCGTCCGTCATATTACTATATGGCTGGCGAGAAGGTGGTTAATCTCTGCACTGCACAGTGTGATCTGTGGGAGGAGCTAAGCCACAGCAAGTCACTGCTGTTTATTATTCATTTCCTAGATTGTAAGCTCAAAAGAGTAGGGCCCTCTAACCCCTCGTGTGCTGTTTGTAGTTGCTGTACTGTTTCATGAATTGTCCCCCCCCCCCTCTATTGTACAGCGCTGAGCAAACCCTTTGGCGCTATATAAACTCGATGCAAAGTGAAAAAGCAAACCATAGACATAAACAATAGCTAATCAAACAAACAAGGTCCAGGAGATTCAACAACATAAGCAGTGGATCCATAGGATTAGACCGTTTAATAATGACGTTAATAGTTCCTAACACCCTGGCCCAAAGGGGAGAAGCTTGGAACATTCGCAAAACGTGGTGAAACGTGCCCATCTCCATATCACAGCGAGGGCAGGTTGCCAATTTAGCAGGATATATTACGGCCAAGCGCCGCGGGGTGTAATATACTCTATGGATAAATTTTAGCTGTATCAAGTGGTCCCTGGCTGAGATCATGATAGGGAGGCACTATAAAAGACAATCCTCCCAATCATCCTCTAATAGAGAAGGGAGGTCTGTGTGCCATTTATCATAAAGCACCTGCATTCTAGGGGTATCAACAGGGAATGGAGAGAGGATAACGGTTTAGGCAAGTCCTCCATTAACAACAATTTTTCTAATGGGTCCGTCTGAATGGTTGGTGAAGAAGGAAATTGAGCGGCCACCGCATGACACAATTGTAAAAACTGGAAAAACATCATGGTTAGGCAGACTATGAATGCGTTTGAATTCGTCAAATAGAAGCAGGGCGCCACTAGGCATAATCTGGTGCAACGTTTTAATGCCATATCGAGCCCACACCACAGGATCCGGTATCGTGTGTAGATGGGGGATGGCAGGATTGCCCCAGAGCGGCTTGTGAGGGGAGTAGGCGTTATTTACACTAAACTGAACTCTAGCCTGACTCCACACCCTCACGGTTGTCAGCATGGGAAGAGTGATGGCCGAGTTGGACTTTGAACCTTCTATGAATTAGGTTACGAAGTTCGGCATACGAGCCCAGTGTTGCCACCTCCAGGATCACCGCAGCATTATCCCTAGGCTGGGAGAGCCACCAGCGCACCGTGACCAGAACAGCTGCCCAGTAATATAAAAGCAATTTAGGAAGTTCCAGGCCACCGCGATCAATAGGTAAGTGCAGAGTAGAGCAAGAAAGTCTAGGGGTCCTACCAGTCCAAATAAACCCAGAGACTACACCATCCACACAACGGAAGGATTGTGGGATCTGCACTGGCATATGCCGAAAAAAATATAAACTTAGGTAGAAATATAATTTTATAATAATTAAACCGGCCTATGGTGCTAATCGGAAGTGAAGACCAAGCATTACATTTAGTCTGCAACTGCTGCACAAGGGGATGAAGATTGTCCACTAGGTACTGCTTCAAGTCATGCTGCACCGTTACACCTTAGTATTTAAATTGAGAGACCGATCTAATAGGGGTGAAGGTAATATTATGCAAGGGCCCCGGTGCCAGAGGAAAACAGTATTGACTTCTCTCAATTAATGCGTATTCCGGAGTAGCTGCCGAAGCGATTGAGAAGACTCAGCGCCTCGCTAAGAGATGAATTACAGTCTTAAATATAAGAGAGTGTTGTCCATATATAGGGAAACCCTATCCTCCCAGTCACCCATTGGTAGTCCATATAAGGAATTGGAAGAGCGGATCAGGCAGGCCAAAGGCTCAATCGCCAGGGCAAACAAGCCCGGTGAAAGCAGACAGCCCTGCCATGCCCCTATGGAGAGCAAAAGGGTAGTAAAGGATATTAGTACATACTCTCGCAAGCGGCAAACTGTACAGGCACCTGATCCATGAAATGAAGTGAGGGCCAAATCCAAAGTGGCGCAGAGTTTCCCATAGATACTCCCACACGACTGAATCGACGTCCTTCTCGGCGTCCAGGGACAGCACCACACCAGGGTCATCCCTGTGGCGAGCTGCAGAAATATGGGTGAACAGTCTCTGTATGTTAATATCCGTACCCTGCCCCGGCATAAAACCCGTCTAGTCATGGTGCACCACCGCAGAGATAACCGAACCCAATTTCCCAGCCAGCACTTTAGCAAGTACTTTTGCATCAGTGTTTAGCAGGAAGATCGGCCAATAGGAGGAGCATTGAGTTGGGTCCTTCCCGGGCTTCAAAATCACCACTATCACCGCTTGAAGACTGTCAGAGGGCAGAGTTCCTGTCTCAAGTAGTGCCTTAAAAAGTGTTTGAAAACAGGGAGCCATTTTCTCAATGTATGTTTTATAGAATACAATTCTATCCACCTGGGGCCGGCGTTTTGCCAGATTGGAGAGCGCCAATGGCCTGCTGCATCTCCTCCAAGGAAATCGGTGCCTCTAACTGCTCCCTCTGGACTGCAGATAGAGACAGCAGGTCAACACGATCCAGATAACGCAACAAATCCTGTGGCATGAAGGCAGCTCTGGAGGAAATTTAAACTTGCATAATAGTCGGCAAAACGCTGGTTGATGGAGAGTGGATCAAGGATCCTGGAACAGTCTTCAGCCTGTATAAGGACAATATTGGATAGGGCAGATTTTTCCCTAGCCAACCAAGCAAGTAGGTGGCCAGCTTTATCTCCCTGTTCAAAAATATGCTGTTTTTGATGCAGTATATTCTTCCTGGAGGCCTCAGTGCGTAACAATAAAGCTTTCCTATTAGCCAGTTGTAAGTCGTGATGACTAACAGGACCTGGATTGAACACATAATTGGATTCAGCTTCCTGCACCCTCCGGTCCACCAAGTCCACTTTCTGCCGCTGTCTAACCTGCAGCCCCCCTATCAGGGTCCGATACTGATCCCTAAGAGTAGCCTTACAAGCCTCCCATGTAGTAGTAGGTGCAGCAGTATTGTCATTAGAGTCCCAATAATGCTCCATTGCCTTCCCTATAGGGGATTCTACATCAGGATCAGTGATCCAATACCTAGATAACCTCCAGACTTTTCCCCTTGGGGCATCAGTAATACTTAATTTGAGGAGTGGAGCATGATCAGAAATCCCTCGTGGAAGGATGGAAATCTCCTGAACCCTCGCTAAAAGTGCAGGTGTAACGGAACATAAAGATCAATTCTAGACATAGTTCTATGTGATGCTGAGTGACAAGTATAGGCCCTGGTCCCTGGATTTTTTTTTTCCACCTCCATACATCCGTGAACTGGTAAAGCTCCGCCAACTTCGACTCCCCACTGGCGTCAGGAAATAATTTATCAACACTGGTCCGGAGTAAGATTAAAATCACCAGCAAGAAGAACATGTGATGTGGGATAGGAGGTCAGGAGTGGGGCCAAGGCAGCCAACGAGCGTGCGGAGGCAGGAGGTGGAAGATAAAGCCCCACAATTACCATTTCAAAGCAGTTAATCATCACATGAATCATAACGTATTTACCCTCGGAATCCAGCCTGAGATGGAGGAGAGTGAGCAGCAACAGTTTATGTATAAGGACACTAACCCCTCGAGCATAAGAAGAGTATGTAGCATTATAATAATGACCAACTCAAGCTCTCTTGAGGCCCAGTATCCTATGGCCCGTTAAATGGGTTTCTTGCAAAATACAGATATGTGGCGTGTAGGATTTGAGAAATTGGAAGACCAAGGAGCTCTTCACGGGAAAGTTGAGGCCCCGCACATTCCAGGAGATACATTTCAAATCAGGAGGCACCATAAAATAAATATTGGGGAACTAATTTGTGTCCACTCAGGCTGAACCCCGGGAAGAAAACATAGAACTGTAAACCAGACATCAGAAGGAACAGTATATTAGCTTGATACCATGCACAGACTGAAGCACATATAAAGTCAAATGCACCTTGCAACAAAAGAAAAAGGATGAAAAACTCCCAAAAAACCTATCCCCCCGGAACAGAGGTAGCAGAACGACTAATCTTCCAGTGACGCAACAAGATCAGCACTGTGATCGTAGGGTTTCCAACCAGGATGCTGCCTTCACAGGCACAGTGAAGATGCGCATGGTTTCACCATCCTGAACTCTGAGCTTCACAGGGAACAGCATGCCATAAGTAAGGCCTTTTGCACGTAGTTGAGCCTTAACAGCATCTAAGGATCGGCGTTGCTGTTGGGTATCCAAGTAGTCAGGAAACCGCATCAATTTTCATACCGCAGTTTCCCCTGTGCCCTGGCCATCCTTAGCGCCATATTTCGATCACGGTAGTTAAGCAGCTTAATAATAAAAGTGCGGGGCGGCAAACCAGGCAGGTCCCTGGCTGCTGGCATTCGATGGGCTCTCTCGACCACAAAGAAGCTGCAAAAAGTGTCCACGAGGCAGCAAGGAGCGAAGGAGGTTCTCTTTAAACCTAGGCGGATCATTACCCTCTGCCCCTTCAGGAAGACACACCACATGGAGGTTATTACGCCTGCTGCGATTCTCTGCATCCTCTGCTCTGGTCTCGATGTACTTGACCTTAACCCACAAGGTATGCATCTCTGCCGAATTGTCGCGGATAGTGTCCTCTGCATCACTAACACGCTGCTCGACCGCTGTAACTTGGCCCCAGAATGTGTCAAGATCCCTCCGCTCAGCCCCACATCAGTCTGCAGGTGTTCTATTTTTTTGGTGAGCACCGCCTGACAGTTGGTAATCGCCGTCATGAGAGAATTAAAGTCCGCCGGCGCAGCAGGTGGGTTGGGCTCTTGGGAGAGGGATGCGGCCATGGTGGCCCACGCCTTAGCCCCCGAGCGCCTTCTGGAATTCACAGCTTGTGTAGTTTAGGTTCTTCTGCCAGCGGTCATAGGCTTTCCTCTAGTCATCCCCAATATTC